GGGTTTTATTTTTAGTTCTTGAGCAATTTGAGCACACAAAAACACGCTTATGCATTGTTTTATCATATAAACACAAAATATTAGCGATATTTCTTTTTGGCGTTCACATGTAGAAGTCAAGCTGTGACTAAAGCGATTAGGGTTGTGGACCACAATTCATGCGGATCACTTTTGTGAGGCTAGTGCCGTATCTACCCTTTTTGTTTTAATCTAAGTGTATAAATACAAAAAAGTTTTTCATAATTTCATTTTTTTTATAATTTTTATGTCAGTCAAAAACAATCTGCAAACTTTCTGTCTATCTCAAAATGTTATAATTTTATTCTGGTCTTCAATTTTTTATAATAAATTCAGATAATACTTATACCTATATTTTATAAATAAGAAAGGGGGGGGGGGATTCCTAAATCTCACCATGTACCTATCACCAAGGGGTATGGGTATTGGGGTTATTTTTAACCCCTAACCCCTTTCATAATGGTGTCGATTCTGGCGTGATTCTCTCAACTTAAAACTAAATTTAAGGTCAGTGGTGTCGATTCTGGCACGATTCTCTAAATCTAAACTTAAATTTGACAACAGTGTATCCTTGTCATTCTCTATACAGAATGAAAAGGACAGACTGATGTTAAATTTAGTTTTAAGTTTAGAGAATCACGCTGGAATCGACACCAGTCTCACCTTTTCCTTCTGTAAACAGAAAGACAAGGGTGCACTCTTGTCAAATTTAAGTTTAGCTTTAGAGAATCATGCCAGAATCGACAACATTGAGTAGGTAAAGGTAAATTTATACAAGTAAAAGCCATGTATGCTAAAGAAAAATCTGTATTTTATTTTACAAAAGATCAAATTTAAAAACACTAAATTACCCGCAAAATTTTTGCTAAGTCTGTCAAAATAATATTAGAAATATACTTCAATCTTAGTTTGTTTCACAAAACCAAAGGTTTTTAAATGTTTAAAAACATAGAAACTCGTATTTAGTTTTTATTGTCACTGCACTGACTCTTGCGCAGTGCTGCCAACATCGGGTCCATATCAGAGAATTCGGATTAATGATGCTTTCTATAATAGTATTAAGTAAAATTTTATTGGTCAAAGTTTTTTTTACTGAGTTCAAACCAAACAGGATATTATCACTACTTAGTCAAACTCTATTACCAATTCGATGTTTTTTTAAAACATCCATGCATCGAGTATAGTGAAAGCTTTTCAAAACATCGGATTGATTCGATGTTTTTCATTGCAAGCGTCGATGTTTTCGATGTATGTCGAATAGGGATGTGCGATCCGATATATCGACCCGATTTTTCGGATCGTAATGCAACGATCCGATTCGCGGATCGGATCGCATGCCATCCACCCGATCTTAAGAAATCGGATCGGATCGGATACAAATAAGTAAGACAATTTATTTATATTTTTATTTGGTAATATGTAAAACTTGTGAACAAAGAAGATTGCTCTATGTAAACTTATAAACTAACAAGTACTTAGTTTTGAAAGAAACACAATGTGAAATAGTAATTTAAGTACACAGAGAACTTAAAAAAATAATTACTAGTTATTTATGAGAAATTTAGACTTCGAAGAAATGCGCCCAACTACTAAATATTAGTTAAAGTACAATTGAATCAGTCATTTCAAAAACCTCTTAGGTTCATGCTCAAACAATCGAGTTTAATAGGACTTTTTTACGCTTAATTTTAATATTTGAGTTGTAAAAAATTCAAATTTCCAAGAACTTTACTGTTCATAAATAATAATAATGAAAAAATCATGAAAATCTATTCTTGACTTATGTAGTTTGTGCAAGAAATAGATGACTCGTGTGGTTTTAGCAAGAAATAGAATAAATGGTATAAAATAGAAATAGGTGACTCGTGTGGTTTGGTGGTGTGGGTATATATAAATTGACCTACAACTTTTGTTTATAATGATATAATGTATGAGATTAACGAATCCACCTGCAAATAATGCCGCCAAGTTAAAAAATGTAAACAAAGATAAAGTTCGTAACAGAAACCTTAGTAAGTACCTACCTAATTTATTGTAAACAACCACATTTTCATTCATACGATCCAAGCGATCCGATCTTTCAAAGTAACAATCCGCCAAAAAATCGTATGGCCTCGATCCGATCCGAAAATCACCGGATCGTATGCCTTCCGATTCGACCTTTCAAAGGATCGGATAGGTTCGGCGCATCCCTAATGTCGAATATCCCTACTCGAATGTCAGTCGCACTCAAAAATACGTACGTCCTTGATGGACGTATAAAAAAATTATATTTTTTTTATACGTCCATGCACGTGATTATTGGACGGCCCCTAACGTAATTAAAATAAATTATAGACATGACGCATTGTGTAGACACTGGTGTCGATTCTAGCATGATTCTCTAAACCTAAACTTAAATTTGACAGCAGTATATCCTTGTCATTCTCTATACAGAATAAAAAGGAGAGACTGATGTTAAATTTAGTTTTAAGTTTAGAGAATCAGTCCAGAATTGGTACCACTGTTTTATACAAAATTTTATGGAGAATCGAAATATATATAGTTTGTGTAGGGTACTCTTACAAAATAACAGAGAAATCGGCGAAGCGTAAACGAATACGGGTTGTGGCCGCAAGTACGTGTGAACAGCGCGACAAGCGACAACTAGACCTATGGACGTAAGACTTGGCAGTATAGGTGTCCACTATGAAAAAACATCAATGTATTTTTTGATTCGATACATCGCAACTATACATTGATGTATCGTATGAAAACATCGATCTATTTTAAACTTTGAATACTTCTTCTGAAATTTATATGGCTTCGATCCGATCCAAAAATCACCGGATCGTATGCCTTCCGGTCCGATCTTCCAAAAGATCGGATCGGATCGGCGCATTCCTAATGTCGAATATCCCTACTCGAATGTCAGTCGCACTCACTCATCTCATCTGCAATTAATTCCAAAATCTTTTTATACATTTGCTCAATAACTATAATGTCTTTACCAGCAATACCAGCGTTACGTCAACCTAATACATTAATTGAAGAGAAATCGAAGAAACTCCAAAATGAAGAACAAAATGTTATTTTGTCTTTGAAAAGTGACAAATCTCTTGTGATATCTTCGGACGCGTATCATGGCATCATAATGGGTCGCAACATGTTTAGGTGCGTTTTCTGTCGTGCGGAAATGGAGCTGGACTTTAAATGTAAAGATGCACACGTTAACTCCCAAAAGCACAGGAAAGTTTTGGAAAACTACCCGCACTTGGAGGTGCACGGTGATAATTTAATAAGAAAGGTAACTTTTGTTTCTTCTTTGGTTGATCAAGGTTGGGGCTCTTTAACATCCCTTGTTTTCATATTTTCTTGCTAAAATTATTTGATTATATTCATCATTCAGCCTATTAATGTCCTCATACTGGGTGTTTGGGCCATGACCCACCATGCGGGCCCAGTGCATGCTAAAGACTGCAGATGCAGCCGGGACCAACGGCTTACGAAGCACAGAGGAGCTTGAGATAGTAAATTTTTGGTCACCCATCCAATGAAGTTGAAGTTAAGCAACTTCTGCAGTGGTCGATACTGCAGAAGTTGCTTAAGTTCAACAATTGCAGCTGATTATATTATTTAACGAATATAATTAACTGCTGGAATGGATTGCTTTTGTTTTTAAATAATCCATCTTTGTTTTCTATGTCTGTCTATACCAATTTATCAACTAATTACATTTACATATTGTTTTACTTTTACAGGCTGACAAAGAGAATTTCTACTGTACGCTGTGTAATGTTATAGTCGCAAAGCCTTTCCTTTTACGGCACTTGGGATCCGAAATTCATAACCAGGAATTGGAGAAAGCACTCATTAGATCTTCTATTTATAAACCAGTGCATTAAAAGAACTGTAGCCCTAGCATGAACCATTATCGAATTCGAATAGTTTGCGAGTGCGAAATGCCATTGTCAATTTTTTTATGGAAATTGAACAGCAGCGCCACAAGGGAAATAACAAAAACTAAAAAACAGTACACTTTTGACAAAGGGGCTGTTCATAAAATACGTCACGCTAAAATCAGCTTTTTCCGACCCCCTCCCCCCCTATTGTCATGCTGTGTCACACTTTCTGTGACCCCTCTTGAAATATTCCATCACAAAAACGGAAAATATATCAAGTTACAATTTATTGTATAACAAAACTATATACGTTTGAATGTCTATATGTTTACTAAATACGAAATAAATGATTTTCTATCTTGATGAAAATTGAGAAAGAAAAATAGTTGAAAGAAATACTAATTTAAAAATTTTTAATGAACGACGAACGTCACATTGCTGTAGACCCCCCCACCCCCTTGTCACATCTTGTCACACTTACCAAGACCCCTCTCCCCCCCTTTGTATGCGAACGTGTTTTATGAACGGCCCCCAACTATTAGGATTCGATATTGGTTTGTGGTAGTAAGGGTACTGAGAGCTATTGTGCTTGCTAAAATTCACCATGGAAATATTGGTCAAGGCACTTTTTATAATTAACACTAGACTAGCAAGTTTTAAATAAGTTTTTCATTTTTTACAATTGCCTGCTAAATGTAATTTTAGGCATAAGCATTTGACTGTTACATTAATAAATTGTTTATAATAAGATAGACTGAAGTAAGAGAATTAAGATGTAATCAAACAAGATCTCTTTTTATTATGGACTAAAATACTAAATTTAAGTTTTAAAAGTTATTGTTATATTTTTATTATATGGATTTGAAATTAAAGTAATTTTATTAAATTAAAAAAACGGAAGATTAAATCTAGAATGTGATGTATTTATTGTTTGTTTGTTTTTTAAAGGTTTAAATTTTATCTTATTTTTATTTTTAAGCATTGAACTGCTAGATATCTAAATTTAAAGAGAAAAAATCTGTTGCTGTTTTATTCATCAGCAAAAGTTTTGTTACTTGTATAAGATTTTGCCAAAAATAAATACTTCAAATTTGTTTATTACTGTATTTTTATTTATTTGGAAGTATTCACATTTGTGAAGCTTTATTTTTAAAGAAAATTAAGATAGGTCTTTACCTTGATACAAGATTGATAAATTCAATGCACCTTTCAACGGCAGTTTCAGTAATTGCAGAAATGTTACACAATTGAAATGAAATCAGTCACTTTTGCACATAACCAATTTATTACATATCTTTACACCCTGCGCTTTTTTGATTTCTTTTTTATTTTCTTCTGTGTCCCCTTGTTCATTTTGGATATTTTTCTCTTGTGGAGCCACACTGGGTACTGACCATTCTGGTCTTTCAAGGTTTTAGTACTGAATATCCTTTTTTTGCCATTATCACCGTCGATTTCGATTTTTTCATCATCCGAACTCATTTCGACATCTTCATCGTCATCTTCGCTGACCTTTTTTGCCTTCTTATTTTTCTTATCCTTATTTATTTGTCCAGCGTCCAAAAATATTACTTGATCGGATTCCATAACCTCAGTCTCAGTAACCTTGTCCTCTTCTTTTATTCCTAGCATTTTCTTTAATCTTGCCAGTTCTTTGACGGCGTATCGTTCACGTTTGACCGCTCGGCATTTCCGCTTCCATCTGCTTCTGAGGGATTTGGCCATTATTTAGGATAAATAGCCAAAAATCAAAATATTTTGAAACGTGCTTCCTTAAAACACGCAATAAAAAGACAGTTAAAACAAATGTCATTGATTGTTTGGAAATAAGCATGTCCAATCTGTTATACGGCAACGTGATAAATCGATTTTATTGATCGAATAAAAGGTTTCGTTTTTTCTGATTCGATCGTATACTGAAAAACATGATAATATTTTTTATGACTATACGTACAGCAATGAATTGATTGTGTGCGATTACCAAAAGGACTTGAGTGGAGCGTGTTTTTTATAATTTTATTTTATTTGGTTTCGTGTGATTACGACTGTACTTATTGTTGATTAATAGTGCGCAGTGCTTGATTCTGATTGAGAACCCTAGGCTAACTATAAAAATGCACCCCTACAATAAACCTGTTCTACCCTACCTTTTCATTTACTTACATGTGCAAGTAATTAAATTACAGGTAAAGAAAAGAGCTAACGTAATCTAACATCATTGAATTGAACTGTCAGTAAATAGGTAAACGAAAGATGAAAGGAACTAAATAATTCCAACGTCAGATTAGAGAACAATGTTCTATAATCTAAGATTTCAACACTTATTTTTACGATTATTTATTTAGTGCTAAAAGTACGAAAGAAGAAATTAAAAAAGTAAATCAGGCTTAAATTTGTTCGTGGTGTTGTATTTGGTTTTTAATTGGTATGTCTTTGTGAGAGGGCACGCAGGTATTTAGATCAGAGCACAAATACAAGTTTACAGGACGAACAAAAAACTTAAAATCTTTAGGTCTTGGTTATGCATTTGAAGTATTTCTAAATATGTATTAAAGAATAGCATAAAAGAGTGGTATGAAGTAAAACCTTTTTAAGATTAAATAAACTGCAGTTTTGGTACTTACACCACTGCACTATGATGAATTTGCTAGATTACTTAGGCCAAAATGATTGAAAACCTATACTGCAGAGCGTAAAGTTTTCTTGCTTCGATACTTATAGTTGGACAATAAACTATTAGATTCCACTAAAAACTATACGTATTTTTTAATAGTTTCCACTTTGCATATTTTATGCGTCTCTTTTGTGCGATACTAATAAAATTTCTGGGGGAATTACTGACCAGGCGTATGATTTAGCCACATGCAAAGACCAAGAATAAGATTTATTAAAGCATATAAAACTCAGTCATATACTCTGAAATTAAACCATTAATTTTGCTTGCTTTGCCTTTTTACGTCTACTATAAGCCTTTTTTGCTCGATTCATGAAAATCACAGCTTTTAGTTTATTGAATTATTTTAAAAACTTTATACTACAATAGTGGCCCGGCCTCGCTTCGTTGTGGTGTTGACTATAAGTTTTGTACCCAGGTTTGTATTATACATATAATATAAACTTTCTGTGAAAAAATGTCTAACTGATAATGAAAATTTTTTGGCGTAGTTTAAATGTCGCACGACGTCACGCCTTGGCCAATTTTTACTTAGAAATGACGTAACTAGCTCCCACTTCCAAACTTTAACGAAAAGAAAACAAAATCAATTGATTTTTTGACATTCCAACTGACTTCTAGACATAATTCCGTTTACCTTTTCATCATCACTTTAATAGGTACATGATGCTGAGTTGGGATTGGAATTACCTTGTGAGTTCATTCGAGTTTCGTCTTTATGATGTCCATCTGCCCCCCCCCCTTGGCGAAGTCCTTGATGTAAGTCTTAGTACAGCACCACGCCCGTCCGCTACTCTATTAATTCTTGCGCCCTAGGTAATAGCCTTATTAGCATGTGGATAAAACAGGCCCTAAAAATGAGATCTTAGCCTGTGCATAAAACAATCAACATAACCCTTCTAAAGTATAACAAGAAGGTAATAATTCAGCAATGACATCAATAATCCACCCTAGAGAACGTGTTTTTTTTTGTCAGAAACAATAATTTATTGTCTAATTTTTGCTCCTCTCTTAGCACATCCTTGGTGAGAAGTAACAATTCAGGAAAATACATAAAATCTCTTTTTCCGCTCCTCCCTTAGCAGTGCAAATATAAAAAAAAGTAGTATTGCCTGTTCCTCTCAGTACTTACAAGGTTTTTCGCCGTAGTATTACGAAATACCAGTGCATTTTTTTAAATTCATAAATATTTGTAAGGTTTTAAAAAAGTACAAACTCGCACTCTCGTGAAAGTTTGTACTCACTTGTTCATTCAGTAGTATACTCACCTTGGCAATATAAAGTACAGTGAGATCTCAGAACAAGAAACAGGGCCGGATTTAAGATTGTGGAGGCCCCGGGCCACTTAGGATTTGTATTAAAGGAAAAGACGTTTACTAGTGTTTACTAGTTGGAATTTGAAAGTTTTTTTTTCCGAAATCTCTATTGTAGGGGCCCCTGTTTGTGGAGGCCCCGAGGCTTTCGCCCCGGTTGCCCTCCCCTAAATCCGGCAGTGACAAGAAATAAAGCATAGAATAGACAATAGATTTAAATTAGATAGAAAAAAAAAACAAACAAAGCATTACCTAGCCAAAAAGTATTAGTGACGTGTTGGCAGGATACAGTAGTTTGACATTACATCGCTTTATTATCGTATCTAAAAGATAACCAAGGTATCCAATTTGACGTAACGAACATTACAAAGGTATCCAATTAAATGTTTGTGTAACCATACGTACGTATGCTGCTCATTGTTTTTTGGTTTATAAGTAAAATATGACAAATATATGAGTCAACTTTATGAGATTAATTTAAACTATTCTATGCTTAAGTTCTTGTTCTGAGAGTGCGACCAAGATCTAGTGGCACTTAGATGACATTGACAGGGCGCCACTGTGGAATAAGGATTAATATGTAGGGTAAAATTTCCTGAAATGTAAATTGAAGGGAACGTGTATTATTTCTAATAACTCGGAAAGAGCAATAGAAAATAATATTATAAAAATCTTACTGATTTTCATAAAATTAGTTCCGACGTCAGCTATTTGCCACAAGACATTGGTCGCAATGCAAAGGCCTGCACAGTCTAACTGTATGATGAATGTTATATCAAATAATTATTAACAATTTTTGATAATCGGATTCAAAATTGATTAATCACAACCGATTACTTAGAATCGATTATGCGCATCACTAAATTGTTTTTATTTTTTAAAATGACATTTCATTTGTGTCAGTCATCCAATCCAATCCAAATTCTCAAAATTTTCAGATTGCTTGCTTCCCGTGTGATGTTTTGTTCTTTTTTGCGATATAAACTTAAAAAAAATGCTGTAATTACAACTTGGAATCATTCCAAAAAATAATTGTGTCCTTTTCTCGTTCCAATAAAACGATATTCATCGAAGTTTCTTTGTCTCGGTGATCAAGTGACTTATTAAATCCGATCTCGGCTGCGAAGGTGTATATTTGCAATCAGTGAAACTCATTGAGGGTTTGAAAATGGAGACTTCTTTAAAGGAAGGAGAGGACAAGGAACTCGACGATAGCGGTTGCGTCCAGGACGGTAATAAAACCTTTTCATATTCGGTCAATTTTGCATGGCTTTCGCCAAGCTCTCACAATCAAAAGGTTTAGCGTTCATTCACATAAAGCATCTGATTTTTAATCAAGTACTTATTTTTTTCTTATACCATTTAAAATGTATAATTAAGAAGCAATATAAAATATTCAATTTTCTTTTTAAAATTGCTTCTATACCAATTTTTTTAGTCTTCATGTTTAAAGTTCTTTAATAACCAAGTATCGTAATTTTTAACCTGTCTTAATTTATTATGACACCCTTAACTTTTTTGCCATTTATCCTATTAAAAGCCAAAAGCTTGTTTTTATGTATATACAGTAATATGTACTGCTGTTTAAAGAATGAGCTTAGTAGAGATGGATGGGTGATAATGACTTATGAAACAATAATAATAAGAGGATTTTACGACTATCCTAAATCATCCCATTGTTCTTAACACACTGAAGCATTCGAAAGTATGGAGCAAATTGAGATTTAACCAAAAAACCAAAAACTAATGATGTAGCTTGATTTCCATGAAAGCAGATGCCACACAAGCTTCGTACACAAACATTATTTGTATTAATATGTATTTGAGGAGCTCGATGGCGCAGTGGTTAGCGCATTCGGGTGCGATCGTTGAATTTAACCAACTTTCGCAGTGGTTGGTCATTGGATGGGTGACCATAAATCTTCTATCTCCAGTTCCTCCGTGCTTCCGAAGGGACGTTAAGCTGTTGGTGCCGGCTGCATCTGCAGTCGTTAGCATCCGCCAATCCGCACTAGGCCCGCGTGGTGGGTCATGGCCCAATCTCCTTATTCCATCCATAGGGAAGGCCTGTGCCCCTGCAGTGGGGACATTAATAGGCTGATGATGATGATATGTATTTATTATTATATACTTCATATTGTAAAGGATGCATAAGCTATATTAAAGTATATGCATTTTGATATGTGCCATCAGAACACTATGTACATTAAAGTGGTATCATCCTTTGATGATTTTATCTGTCAAATATTATAGTTATACCTTATACAATATTATAGTATAAGTTAGATATCAAATAATTTGGGAATTTTTCATTTTTTCATGTTATATACAATTCAATGTCTCGTCTTTTTAGATTTCGAAAAACGAACCTTCTTTTAATACTTAATATACACTAAGGCCCTTATTACAGAGTGACAACTAAGTGTTGATCTTTACTTGAGTACAGTTAGAAAGGGATGTCGCTATATATACACATAGCGACATCCCTTTCTAACCATGCTCAAGACTAGATCAATCACGGAGAATCTTTCTATAATACGGGCCTGAATCTCCTCCATGCTTGATTGCGATTTTTAGACCAGTGCATTAGTTACTTTGGAATTCAAGAAATGTACGTCGTTTATTTCTTTTTTTAGGGTTCCATAGTCCTGACAAGGAACCCTTTAAGTTTTGTCATGTCCGTCTGTCTGTCCCCGGTTTGCTTGGAGACTATTAGCACTAGAGAGCTGTAATTTTGTGGAGATATGTATATCGATCACACCAACAAAATGGTAAAATAAAATTTTGAAAAACTATTCCTTTTAGGGCAGCTCCCTTAAATTACATTTAAGGGAGCCTAGAGATGATTTTTTTCATCATCTACCCCATCATGTGGTATAGTGTTGAATAGGTCCTATAAAATGACTTAGGGGTTCCTTACACTACTTTTCGATTTAAGGAACCCTTTGCGAAATATTCATACTGCAGCCCTGACGGTGTCGAATTTTCTTTAGCCTTTCTTAAGCTGTAAGTAACCATCTCTTCGTATTGTAGGTAACCCACAATGTCAAATAAATACCTTTAGAAGTATTAAACATTTGAAAGAAGAAATAGCAATTATAGTTATATATTTTTTTTCGGCCGTCAGGGCCGCGGTAGCATAATGGTCAGTGCATTCGCCCGGATGGGGGTGAGGGTTCAAGTCCCGTCTACTGCCTTGTCTGTGTGGATTTTTTTTCTAGTAAAATTTTCTTAAGTGTGAAATATCTAGCAGTTAAATGCTTAAAAAATAACGAATATAATTAAATAATAAATAAATATTTCCAACACACACCAATTAGCCTAGCCCTAAAGTAAGCACTGTATGGCTTGTGTTATGGGATACTAGGGTAACCGATAGAATACATATACTGTACATATATAAGTATATTTATATAGAAACATATATTAAAACATCCATGACTGGAGTACAAATACTCGTATTCATCACACAAACATCTGCCCCCACCGGGATTCGAACCCGGGACCTCTCGAGTCGGCGACACCATGAAACCCGGCGTATAAACCACTCGGCTACTGAGTTGTCAAATTATATTTATTGTTTTTTTTATTTTCCGATATAGAAAATAAAAGCTCCATGTCTAATATATTGTGGTATCTGCAGGCAACTACAGAACATTACACTACGCGTGGCACGACACGCACTTGGCCGGTTTTTTTGCCTTGTAGCTACAGAAATTACAAAATGCAATACAAGCGACAAAAGTACAAAAATATTAAAAACATAAAAAGCCAAATTTATAATAATGGAAAGAAGAGACAACATAATTTTTTAATACATTAAATTAAAATGAATTGATTCCATGTCAATTAATAGTACTAGTCATAGTTATTAACCAACATGTCGTCTCATCTAATACACTATGACAGCATGATAAGAGGTGTTGTAAACAATCTGCAAATATGTCTATATCATCATATTGAGTGAGGACGTCCTCGTAAAGGTTTTAAATATGGTTACAAGCGGCGTCTCATAACTGGACTCCGCAGTTACACCTGGAGGGAGAGGTGGTTACCTGGTAGGCACGGAAGCTGGTCGGCTGGCTGACCGCTCGGACTGCGGTCCGTGAGACTAGCCAGGGGGCCATTCGCCTAACGGAAATTCTTTGGAAAACGCTAACGCTTTCGATTTCATTTTGTTATTTCTAGCCGCCTGAGGTTTTCCAATGCCTCGCGCTCTTTGTTTTCCTTTGCATTGGTAATAAGAATATTAAAAAAAATGAGCGTGAGGTATTTGAAAACCTTCGGCGTTCAGAAATAACAAAATAAAATCGAATGCGTTGGCGTTTTCTTAAGCATTTGCGTTAAGCGAATGGCCCCCAAGTGACGTTGTGAACGGTGAAGACCAGGATCGGCTAAAGCGGGTGCGGACCGGGCTGCTGGTCGGAGGCAGGCTGGTTGGATGTATGCCACGCTTGCGTGAGTGCACGTCAAAGTATACCCGCATCGACTAGCGGCCCTGGGGCTGTTCGCCACTCGCCGATTACCTGCACCACGCAATTACCAGCGTCGCGAGGGTTTGTTAACGGCAAACCAACGTGGTGTTGGTCATTGTCATGGATATAATGCATATTTTCTCCCCGTAATCGAAAAAATAAGGTAAGTTGGTGCGTATGCAGCGGGTAATAGGCCAGGCAAAGATGCCTTCTCTGTGGTGCCACCGTCCACATATCATATAGTGATGTTGTCATTAATCATATCAATTTATTTATATTTCAGTTTGTCCTGCACCAAAGCAGTTGGATGACGAGTCACAGGAAGCGGAACTGTTGGATTTGTCTGATGATGTTCTCCTTTTAATTCTGAAGCATTGTTCACCTAGAGACTTGAAAGCACTTGGATAGTAAGTAATAATATATACTCACATGACTCACCTAGATTTAAGAGAATGCATGAGCTTCATGAGAATTGAGAATAAATCAGGGGCCATCTGATTTTAAACCATTATATGGCATTATTAGATATTAGAAAAAAATGCGATTGACGCATATTACATATGTCGAAGGATGATTTGATAAATCGAATTTTGATTGAGTATTAGAGTTTGGGATAATTAGACAATGACCATGTTATTTTTTAATTTCTCAATCTTACTGAAAAAATATAGGATTCTTGTGAAAAAGCGGGAGGCCTCAGTAAGATTGCGAAAAAAAAACGTTGGCTATTTATAATATAAATATTTTTGGTTTTTGGTTTGTTGGGTTCACACATTAGTTCGGTGTCACTATGACGTGCGAGCCGAGCGAGCGTAGCGAGCATTACGAGGCATTGGCCGGCGAAGCGCCAATAAAAGAATCTCGCTAACAGTAAGATTGAGCAATCGCCATTGTTGAACTATCCGTGATTACTCAAAATCCATAGGATGTTCGCGAAAATTCGATTTATCTAATCATTCTGCGACATATATCTACAAAAATATGTATCGTTATATGTATTGCTTTCTGTTACCCTAGTATCCCATTTTACAAGCCTTACAATGCTTACTTTGGGACTAGGCTAATTGCTGTGAGGATTAGAACTTTTTATTTATTTACAAGGAAATTGTAAATTAATCAGCGTTCTTCCTTAAGTAAACATTTTTGGAATATGTTCGCGGACCATTGGTTAAGAACCACTGGGTCTAGCCAAGATGTCATTTCTGGCCCATGTTGTGGCTGTGGTTAAAGATTTGGCCTTAAAATTGAACTTAAATCCAAACGACATTGAAGATGCTCAGAGGGTAGGTCAAGAATAACCGGATCTCAATAAGCCCAAAATACTACATGTAAAACTGTCGTCTAAAGGCGCCTCTGATAATTGGATCCTGGCCAAGAATAAAAATAAATTTACAAACAAAGAAATTTAACTAAAATGGCAATGATAAAGTTTGAATTCACATGATATTGACATTTTATTGGTCTCAGACACTTCTTTCAAAACCAAAGTGTATGATCTCTTGTCATAACAAGTGTATTACCTTGGTTCTCCTCGTCAAGCTTTTTGTTTCTACTAGATACTTATTTGTGTAGTGTACGTACAACATATTTTTCTTTAAGTATAGATTTATTTACCTGTGAAAACAAAACAATCTTAGTATTAATCTGTGGATAATGATGTTGGTTGTACAATAAGTATTATATATAAGTTGGTGTACAACTGTTTCTTATCCCTAATAAAATAAAATCATCATCATCATCAGCCTATTAATGTTCCCACTGCTGGGTCATAGGCCTTCTCTATGGATGGATTAGTGAGTTTGGGCCGTGACAAAATCATATGAAATCTATATATATATATATATATATATATATATAAATCAATTGCTGTTCGTTAGTCTCGCTAAAACTCGAGAACGGCTGAACGGATTTATCTTATTTTGGCGTTTAAATGTCCGTGGAGGTCTAGGGAAGGTTCAAAAGGTGAGAAAACATGGAAAAATTGCTAGGAAGATAGTGAAAACGTCAATTTAATTTTCCCATATAAACGTTCGTCCCTTTTGGTACGGTAGACTCGGGTCCGTCATTTCTTCCAAATTATTTTAACCCGTACGAAGTACGCGGGGTCAACCCATAACCTACAAATATCTGCGAAATATTAAAATAACTAACTTTTTCATCCGACGAAAAGGAACGCAGGACGTTCTCAAATCGATGTGTATAGATGTGTATATAACCATGTACAACCCTGTACTACTTGAGGGTTTGTTTACAGGGGGTTGACAGCCAGGGAATTTCTTAAATAATAAAAACTGGTACCCTGTTTCCACAGATAGCCGTGGCGCAATTTATTCGCATGTTTGAACCTTATTCATCTATCATAAGTATATACATTAAAGAATTTCTTCAACGCGATTTAGCACATATACCAGAACATTTGTAATTTTTTTTTTGTTTCATACGCAATCAAGATTTATTATTATTATCTCATTTATTTTATTCCATAGTTGGGTTTTTTATAAAATAAATATAAAAGTAAAATACAAAAACGCACGAACGCGCAAACTTAACCTAAAAGGCCACCAGCAGTGGAGTGCTTAAGCTACCGGTGGTTAGGGCCGCAGAGAAAGAAACCGCCTGACGATGCGCGCCGTGTCCAGGAGTACCAACCTGCCTTGTGTAATTGCCCCTTGACCCAACCATCTAGCGAGAGGCTCTTTAGATGTTGGTCGAGACTTTTCGCTATGAGACCGTTCACACTAACGACTACAAGGACAATGATCGTAGAAACCACATCCCACAAATCGGTTATCTCGTGTCGTGGGCCAAGTCCAGGTACTGAGCTTGTCCTTCTCGGCCTTCACGAGGTTCTCGTCATGCAGGATAGTGATATCGATGAGCACTGCCTGGCGTTTCAATCGATCTGTCAATACGATATCAGGTCTATTGGCAACAATAGTCCTGTCCATAATGACAGATCATTATTATTATTATTATTTTTATTAAATATCCATTTCTCCTCCTCTAGCACTTGTCCTCGTCTCGGTCGGCTCATCAAAGATCGTACTCTCTGGCAACGTGTAGATGCTCGTGGAGAACCGACTGGTCGAGCGAGGCTTAGATGGTTTCTGGCCCATGCCTTGGGTTCGAATACTACCGAATTAAAGCTGACTGGGTACGCTAGGGAGGCTAAAGGGTGAGTAGATTAGAAGAAGCATTTTTGCAGGCCGGCAAAGTGAGAATGGCCAACCATTACACTGTACAGCAGTTATACACTGCCACACCAATGTGGCAGTGTATAACTGCTGTACCAGCTATCTTCGCGTTTGGACTTTATCACCACTTAACATCAGGTGGGGTAGAGTCATTTGCCAAACTGCCTATAGGAAAAAGAAGATTTGTTTTTCAGGAGTTGTAGTATAATGCCGTTATAATGTCATGCTTAGTGATATAAAATAAAAAAATATACCGTTAAAAAAACATGTAAAAATTGTTATGTATGATATCACACATATTTTTTTTAATAATTTTTTTTTAAATGCGCTCTGCTAACTGCGTTCATACTTCAAACAAATATAGAACAAACGGGGATTTCGGGCATTTGTCTATACTCGTGAGAAAAAGTTTTTATCCAAAGTTTTTTTTCATGGTTGATAGATTTTTTTTAATGATAAATGACAAGTGCTATAAAATGAAATAATATGTCAACAGATGTTTGGGCCACGTAGACAGAAAACGCAAAGAAATAGAAGAGGAACTCGAAATGATTAATAAAAAGGACAGCGAAGACCCCGAGGCAGCTACCTCATCGACTAGCGGGCCTAGTCAAGCAGGTAAGTTGTTTTTATAGATTGTACCCACAAGTTTGTAAACTCAAATCCTCAACAAAAAAGGTTATGTATAATATTATTCATATTCATATATACTGTTCCGTTCCAAACATGAAGGACAATTCTAAATGAACAACGATATTAAATACCCTAGATACACCAACACGAACAAAATCGTGCCCAAAACCTGTCCTAAAGGTACATTGAACGATCCACGGAGCTCCGTAAGATGATCGCGTAGTCAAAATCAATATAAGGCATTATTTAAATATTGAAAGTAACCTTTAATACAACTCTTATCTATTAGACAAGTCCGTCTGTCTGTGGTGCTGTTTCAGCGGCCAAACCGTAAGAGATAGATAAAGAGAATATTTAAGTTATAAGTTAAGAATAGTCTGATAAGACTACAAACCGGATTGGAGTAACGTAGCACTTCCGGTTTTCGAGAAATCAGGTTTTGGTGAACATTTGGTTCACTGGTTTGCTAGTACTGTATAAGATCATAAATAAAACGCATGCGTCAAGGACTTCTGACAGTTCGAAATGCAAGCTCGTAAAATTTTACGACTTATTGCTATATGCGGAAGAATTTAGACCTTAGTTCTTTGACTCTATGCTCAATTCTGAACGCAATAGCAATATAGCAGGCACGGACCGCAAGGAAAAGAGACGGCTATATGGCGACGTATAACCGACAATGCATTTGAATATCACAAATATTTTATATTAAATCAGTTTATAGTAAGTATTAGATCAAAATTGACTTCGAATGCGTTAAATTAACAAACATTAACTACATACCTGTCGAAAAAACGACACTTTTTGTACTCTAAGTATTATTTACGCATTTTTTGCGGAGCTCTGTGGCATCTTGACTTTGTAACGGTCCGCGCGTGACTGTAAACCAAGAAGTGCTTGAGCGGAGTTCAAGCACTTCTTGATTGGGACACATTTTGAGCGCTCGTGGTATATCTAGGGTATTTAATATCGTTGTAAATGAAACCCAAGTCCAAAAGAAACGGAAAAATGTTTCAGATTTTTTCGTATTTATAAAATATATTGTATAGGTGGCATCATCAAAATCGATGGCTAAGTGAGTGAAATTTGCTATTTTTATTTGAAAATCCACTTCCGGCTGAAACAAAATATGTCTCAGATTTTTAATATATTATTATTTTTAGAGTCTGGACTTTATCACCACTTAACATCAGGGGGCCATTCGCCTAACGGAAATGCTTTAGAAAACGCTAACGCTTTCGATTTAATTTTGTTATTTCTGACCGCCGAAGGTTTTTAAATACCTCATGCTCATTTTTTTAATATTGTTATTACCAATGCAAAAGAAAGAAGCGCGAGGCATTTGAAAACCTCAGACGGCTAGAAATAACAAAATGAAATCTTAAGCGTTAGCGTTTTCCAAAGCCTTTCCTTTAGGCTAATGGCCCCCTGGTGGAGATAGAGTCATTTGCCTTCTTTTTTATTTATAAAAGTATTATTTCTTAGGACCCGCGACAGCTAATAGTGAATCACCCGTTCAAATCATAAGGGAGGACCCTTTGACAAGATTGCAGAGACTCTACGCACAACAATTGCCAAGGTGATTTTGGTTATTTCTCATGTGCTGCCACTTAAGTTTATAGCATATAAGCATGCGCGCTTTAATTGATCTAACCTTTATAATAGTTTGTTAAAAATACCTTACATTTATATATTCCTCCACAATTACATTTATGAATTTTGGTGTCTAAGTAATAAAGCTTATTTTTGTTTGAGAAAAATATAATTTAAAATAAGTATATTAATGTTTCATTTAAGTGATTAGTTTAATAATGGCTTTAAACATTGTTTTGTTTTCTTTTATTAGGCTATTATTCATTTTTCGAAACAATTTAAGAAAAAAATATTTTATTTCACCTAGAGTGTTTGAATTTTAACACAGGTGTTGTCTTTAAGACGTACCTAGTCATAAAGTACTTTTACGTGTTCACATTTTTGTAGGTTTCACTTCTATCGCAGGTGAACAGCACATGTCCGTTTTTTATGAAAAATGAATGAAATGAATGAAATGAATGAAACGAATGAAATGAATGAAACGAATGAAACGAATGAAATGAATGAATCAATGCAATGAATGAATGAATGTCATGAATGAAATGAATGAATGACTGAAATGAATGAGAAGTCATTTACTCAGTGTAGGCTGTTATAAGCACTTGTGAAGGTCAAGAAGCTACGCCATCGGTTCGCAAAACTACGGCGGGAGACCTTGTACTGAGAAGAACCAGCAAGAAAATTAGCGAGGGCTGTTTTTTCTCCCTGTATTGTTATATACAGAGTCGTCAAGTTGAAAAATGACTTCAGAGATACGTCTGAAGTCACCTTCCACTACATCATTTAGAATATAAATATATAGTTACAATAAATTTTATAGTTAACTTTATATATAGTATATAGGAAGCGACATTAGATAGGTACTATATTACAGGTATATTACCCTAGCGTAACAATTTCATAAGTCCATATCCTAAGGCAGTGGTTCTCAAACTTTTTAAATGACGGAACCCTTTTGGGAAGCAAAATACTTGATGGAACCCTACAATAAAACAATTATTTTTATAAGTGTATTCTATATTAATCAGCATAATAAAAGTACAATGTATCCGTTACTAATTATTATTTACTTCACCACTTGGTAAGGACAATAATAGAAAACATTAAAAAAGAAAAAATCTAACTAGTGGGAGGTATGAAACTGTTTTTTATTTTTCATCAATTGCTTGATATCAGGTTTGATGGAAGAAAGTTGGAGTCTCATATCAGCTTCGGCGTCCAGTCTATTGCGATATTTTGTTTTCGTGGCTGCGTAGGTAGAGAATCCTGTTTCGCACAAATATGTAGTTGGGAACGGGAGAAGAATATCCAGAGCCATTTGGCCAAGCATTGCATATTCATCTTGGATTCTGCACCAAAAATCATTAAGAGGCGTCGTTTTGAACAATGACTCCATACTTGTGTCTGATGACATTTCTAAAAGAGATTCATATATCTCATTTGACATGTTTTCAGGCTTTTCCAAGTTGGGTAAAAAAGGATTATGAATCCAGGAGTTCACTTTAATTTTTGTATTGTGTTCTTCGGGAAAATACTTTTCAAAAGATGCGCGCATCGAACTGAGATATTGGACCAATTCTTCAAACACATTATCTTCAAACATTTCTGAGTCGTTTTCGCTAACAAACTCAGTGAGTAACGTAAAACTTTCTATTTCTTTCTTACCAATGCAAATGATCCAAAAATCTAATTTTCTTTTAAAAGTAGTTATTTTATTATAGGCCTGAAACACTGTTGTCTGTTTACCTTGCAATGATAAATTTAATTCGTTAAGTTTTTGAAAGATATCCGCCATAAAAGACAATCGGAACAACCAAGTTTTATCATACAAACGGTCCTTCAAATTAAAAGAAGTATCTGCTGAAAGAAACATTTGTAACTCGGCTCTAAGTTCAAATAGCCTTGTTAAAGTTTTTCCCCGAGACAGCCATCGCACTTCTGTATGGAGCAGCAGTGTTTTATGTTTGCTGCCATAATCTTCACACAATAATGAGAACAATCGGGATTGTAGTGGTCGTGATTTGATAAAATTAATTATTTTTACCGCTTCATCCATAACTAATTTTAGATTAGACGGCATTTGCTTCATCGCAAGTGCTTGTCTATGCAGAATACAATGACTGGAACTACAATTAGGCGCTTTATTTTTCATTCGTGACACTGCTCCTGCTGTTTTACCTGTCATCGCCTTGGCCCCATCTGTACAAATGTCAATGCAATTGTTCCAACTGAGATTATGTTCTTCAAAAAATATATTTATTTTATTAAAAATTTCTTCCCCGGTAGTGTTTGTAAGCAGCGATGAACACATAAGCATGTCTTCTTCAAAAGAACTTTTATATGGATATCTCACAATAACCAGCAGGATAGCCAAACCAGCGACATCAGTCGACTCGTCCATTTGCAAAGCGAATCGTGTATTTTGTAGACGTGTAACTAGTTCTTGTTTGACGTAGCTTGCCAGATCATGGATTCGTCGTGAAACAGTATCGTTTGATAGCGGAACAGTAGAAAGATGCTTTGCAGATTTTTCATCAAGCATACATTTTGTTATGTCTAATACACATGGTTTTATTAATTTCTCAGCGATAGTGTGCGCTTCACCTGCTTGTGCAATGCGATAGCTAACTAAGTATGATGCCTCCGTGGCCTTTTCGTTGGTAGTTTGTGTTACATGCATCATATTTTTTTGACTTTCTAATAACTGATCTTTTTTGCGAACAAAAAATTCTTTATTCTTGTCTTTAGTCTCGGGGTGTACGGTTTCTAAATGTCGACGCAATTTGGCAGGTGCCATGGAACTATTAGGAAGCAGTTTACTACAGAGCATGCAGAGAGGTGAGCCGTTGGAATCAACAAATCCGAAACTGATATAAGATTCATCATACTTCCTTTTTTTCGTCTTTGAAACCGTCGAGCTTGACGTCGTGGCACTCGTGGCATCATCTTCTGGATCGGTGATTGCTAAATTCTCCGCGCGCATTGCTTTTGAACATTCAGCGTCATTAGAAGATGTTGTTGGAACACGTTTAACACCTTTAAGCCAACGTTCCATTCTTCTTTATTTATAATGTTACAAGTCAGGATAGTGGGGTTTAAATAATGCACAATCGTTACTGCGTATAAGAGACTAAATTTAGAACCTACAGGGAAGAAATGTATAAAACTGAGACAACAGAATACAGCAGGCAGTAAAACAATGAACACCAGTTTCTCGCTAGCGAGCTTGTAAGTAGGTAGTAACTTATCGCTCCGAACGCTAATCATCAACTGACGACGCCAACGCGCGATCGCCGCTTTTATACTTAGTCCTAGACTCGATCTCAAATATTCTCGAAAATACTCGAGTCGGCACCTTTGATAAACAAAAAGCAAAAATAAAAACAGAAATTTAAAAATAGCGTTGTAAACAATATCGACTTTATCCTTTGAAGTTAGAGACGAAAGTCGCTAGTTGACAACTATAGCGTCTAATTCAGAGGCGGCTTTTATCAAAGAGACTGAGCGCTTACAAGTATACTACCCGCTCGTTTTAAGTTTGCCGCTGGCGATAGGTATGAGTGTATGACGTTCGAAATTTTTTATTTAATTGTAACAATAAAAATTGTGTACGTTAGATATTTGGGTAAAACTATGACACATTATAAGTTTTGTTGTCACGTGGGGGAGGGTACGCGCATTCCACAGACCGGCAAACTTAGAGCGAACGCGTTGTACAAGTATAAAATTGTTGAGACCAAACTTATGAGATATTGTACCAGCTAATGTAACACAAGCTTATACAAATACAAATAAATAAATAAATAACATTCATAGCGTTTTGTCTCCGCGCGGCCGCGGAGTCCGCACAGCCGCGGAGCGACCAGAGAGAGGTGTTTTGATTTTTTTATTTCTAAATTCTTGCGGAACCCCGACAGAGGTATCACGGAACCCTAGGGTTCCGCGGAACACACTTAGAGTATAGCTGTCCTAAGGTATATAGTATTTTGTTGCTAATTTGTTGCTATTTTGTGCCGCAAGAATTGATTTTGTTGCTCCATGATTTCTCCGAAAAACGCCTGTTACGCTAGCGTAATATTACGCTAGCGAAACCACAGCGATAACTCGGAGGCAAAAGCAGTTAGAGAGATCAGATGAACGGCATATTTTGTTGCTATTTTGTTGCTGTAAGATAAGCTGGTTAGATATGGAAAAATTCCCCCCCTTCATGGGGGGCTAACTACCCTTATTCTTAGATATTTCGTATCTCGTGAACTAAAGCAGCTAGCGGCACGAGACAAACGGCGTATTTTGTTGCTGTAAGATAAGCTGGATAGATATGAAAAAATATCAGCCCTTCATGAGAGGCTAACTACCCTTATTCTTAGATATCTCAGTTATTTCGTATCTCGTGAGCTAAAGCAGCTAGCGACCCGAGACCAACGGCGTATTTTGTTGCTATTTTGTAGCTATAAGATAGGCATGCTGCGTACATCATAATCACAACCCTTATCGGGGTATGACCAACCCCCGACCCTGAAGACACCAGATATTTCGTATCTCGCGAGCTAAAGCAGCTAGCGACCCGAGACCAACGGCGTATTTTGTTGCTATTTTGTAGCTATAAGATAGGCATGCTGCGTACATCATAATCACAACCCTTATCGGGCTATGACCTACCCCCGACCCTGAAGACACCAGATATTTCGTATCTCGTGAACTAAAGCAGCTAGCGGCACGAGACAAACGGCGTATTTTGTTGCTGAAGGATAAGCTGGTTAGATATGAAAAAATATCAGCCCTTCATGAGAGGCTAACTACCCTTATTCTTAGATATCTCAGATATTTCGTATCTCGTGAGCTAATGCAGCTAGCGACCCGAGACCAACGACGTATTTTGTTGCTATTTTGTAGCTATAAGATAGGCATGCTGCGTACATTATAATCACAACCCTTATCGGGCTATGACCTACCCCCGACCCTGAAGACACCAGATATTTCGTATCTCGTGAACTAAAGCAGCTAGCGGCACGAGACAAACGGCGTATTTTGTTGCTGTAAGATAAGCTGGTTAGATATGAAAAAATATCATCCCTTCATGAGAGGCTAACTACCCTTATTCTTAGATATCTCAGATATTTCGTATCTCGTGAGCTAAAGCAGCTAGCGACCCGAGACCAACGGCGTATTCTGGTGTCTTGGGGTCGGGGGTTGATCATACCCCGATAAGGGTTGTGATTATGATGTACGCAGCATGCCTATCTTATAGCTACAAAATAGCAACAAAATACGCCGTTGGTCTCGGGTCGCTAGCTGCTTTAGCTCACGAGATACGAAATATCTGGTGTCTTCGGGGTCGGGGGTTGGTCATACCCCGATAAGAGTTGTGATTGTGATGTACGCAGCATACCTATCTTATAGCTACAAAATAGCAACAAAATACGCCGTTGGTCTCGGGTCGCTAGCTGCTTTAGCTCAAGAGATACGAAATATCTGGTGTCTTGGGGTCGGGGGTTGGTCATACCCCGATAAGGGTTGTAATTATGATGTACGCAGCATGCCTATCTTAAAGCAACAAAATACGCCGTTGGTCTCGGGTCGCTAGCTGCTTTAGCTCACGAGATACGAAATATCTGGTGTCTTCGGGGTCGGGGGTTGGTCATACCCCGATAAGGGTTGTGATTATGATGTACGCAGCATGCCTACCTTAAAGCAACAAAATACGCCGTTTGTCTCGTGCCGCTAGCTGCTTTAGTTCACGAGATACGAAAATTCTGAAATATCTAAGAATAAGGGTAGTTAGCCCCCCATGAAGGGGGGGGGGGGGGGGGATTTTTTTCATATCTAACCAGCTTATCTTACAGCAACAAAATAGCAACAAAATATGCCGTTCATCTGATCTCTCTAACTGCTTTTGCCTCCGAGTTATCGCTGTGGTTTCGCTAGCGTAATATTACGCTAGCGTAACTGGCGTTTTTCCGAGAAATCATGGAGCAACAAAATCAATTCTTGCGACACAAAATAGCAACAAATTAGCATCAAAATACTATATACCTTAGGATATGGACTTATGAAATTGTTACGCTAGGGTAATATACCTCTATATTACAATTATTATAAATTGAATACTCTTAGATTTAAATGATTACCTTAATAAGAACTTAAAAACAATTCCCAGGTACAGCGGCATACTCTCCTGGCCCGAAGATGGTCCAGGTGAAGTGGACCCAGAGGATGTGGTCCTATTAGACGGGTCCTGCCCCGGGCCCCAGTTCACATTCACTCAGTGCACTCTTAGACAACTTAGGACCCAGTGCTCTTTGACATCACTAACGCTGCAGTACTGCAATATAAATTGCAATACCGTAAGTGGCAGAATTAGTTTTGTACAAGTCTCTACTTTTATTTCTGACATACACCAATAGGCTTGTGAAATGGGATACTAGGGTAACGGATAGAATACATCATCATCAGCCTATTAATGTCCCCACTGCTGGGGTACAGGCCTTCCCTATGGATGGAATAGGGAGATTGGGCCATGACCCACCACGCGGGCCCAGTGCGGATTGGCGGGTGCTAACGACTGCAGATGCAGCCGGGACCAACGGCTTAACATGCCTTCCAAAGCACGGAGGAACACGAGATAGAAAATTTTTGGTCACCCATCCAATGACCGGCCACTGCGAAAGTTGCTTAACTTTAACGATAGCAGCCGAACGCGCTAGCCACCTGCGCCATCGAGCTCCTCCAAGATCCGTCTAATAATACTGTTTTCATTTATCCTACTACCCTACCAATGTGATACACGTGATAGTTTGTTTGTCACTCAATCACGCAAAAACTACTGAACTGATTTAAATGCTGTTATTATCTTAATATTAACTTTATGCAACTTTGCCTTATCGCCATATGGCATTAAGTCCGCCGTTTGCTTATGTTTGGCAATAAAGTTTAAATAAATATACCAAATTTCACCTAAATCGGTTCAGCGGTTTAAACGTGAAGACGGACAAACACACTTTTGCAATCATAATATTTATGATGGATGAACTATCCAATGAATGAATGAATGAATGATCACTTTACTATACACCATTAAACTTTAAATTACAATTAATTAAGACTATAACATAATACTACAAACGGCGGCCATATCGCTAAGAAGCAATTTCTTCCAGGCAACCGTAGTTTAAATGGACTGTTAAATAGAGAGTGTGGAAATAGATGGTGCCATTTAAAGAGAAATTACCTTAAATAATATAAATAATTATGTACAATTCATTCATTCAATCATTCTACCAGTCATTCATTCATTCATTAAAGTATCCATATATTGCTTAATTTTTAACCCCCCTATTAATATACGAAGAATAAGCTTGGATAAGTTACTCCATGTTTTGTCTTCGTTCATTGAATGACAAATGACATTTGAGTGACATGACCAAAACACTAGTCTAAGCCTATTCCTTATTAATGAGTGGGTAAGAGTTAATGACTTGTTTGTTAATTAAGAGCCCTTTTACAAAATTGCGCCGCTGCCGTACTGATCGGCGCGTAGGTAGATTTGCACTAGTATATATTGCATTTTACGGGTGATGTTTCGAGTCTTATAAAATAAATTAGTAATGAACTAATTATAAAAATATATACATATTTCAGTAGTTCAATGATTAGTTTTATGAAAGTTTTTGATAATAATTTTATTTAATTCAATGTCAAAATACGAGGTAAACCTGCATTATTTTTTGGGAAAACTCACGGAGGTTAGATTTTTTTTTGATAATTAATGAGATGGAAAATCAAAATTCTAATACATTATGTTACAACAAAAACATATTTCTGATGTCGTAGTAATTAATTTAATCTAATTTATTGAACATTATTGAGAGATTGAGGCGTTTGAAGTTGTGCATATTATCGTTTTTTCCGTAAACTAGCTGCAGTAGAACGATCAGTACAAAACAAGTAAAACAGTATTTGCAAATATTCTACATAAACTAACAATAGGAAGAATAAATCTACTGTTAACTTCTATTGGAAATAGTCAAAATATTTTCTAAGGGGGTAAACGAGGCGCTCAAAAATTACGATATTATGCAAAAAATGTGAAAGGGCTCTTAAGGATTAAAAAAGTTTATAATAACAATAATTGTTTCTTCCAAACAGACTGGTATCAACCATTTCCCGCCTACACTGAAGAGGCTTTCTCTGCGCGGTTCCAAATGTTACAACCTGCCGTTGGATAAATCTTTCTTATTCAATATCCAAGACTACCTGCCTCAATTAGAGGTAAGTTTTTTAACAAAACATCAATCAATCAATCAATCAATCAATCAATTATGTGTAACATGTCGGAAACCTTTAAAATATAGAGCAATGCGGCCGACGCGACCAAGAGGGGAGTAGTTATGTATAATGACACGATACTACTGAAATCATTCTGCCTACATTTTTTTGAATCAAATCATGTTTTTCTTCAACAGTATCTTGATTTATCGGAGTGCGAATGGCTCGAGCCGGATTCCTACTTGCCTCTGAGCAAGGTGAGCAAGCTGACTCACCTCATAATGAGGGATTGTTACCGTTTGACTGAGTTCGTGACGTACGTGCCACTAGATACGTGTTCGGTTATATTCTCTCATACTTAGAGACTCTTTTAACATCGGCCTTCACAAGTTGGTCCTTCGAGCCGAATAAAAATATAAATTACAAAATTAAAAAAAGGAACGCATAATTTTTATTTAACATTTTTAGTTTATATTTTTGAAGTGAAAACTTCTTTAGCGGCGTTGTACACTTTTTTGTATGGGTAAACAATTTAAACTCGCGTCAGGTTAAACACGTGGGCTGATCGCATCATGACACACAATAAAATTGGAAAGGTTGTTGACTTTCAATATATTGGACGAAACATAGTAATATTTTCTTTTATCGTATTATAATAATAAGTTTCTATCTAGGACGTCCACGTGGCAGCTTTATTGCGAAGAAAATGCATTTTTTTACAATAGATGTCGCTAGGTGCGCTTAAACGTGATTCATCTAAGTTGATTTTTCTGAGAGATAAACTTTTTTAATGTTATATAAATTGTCATGTTTGTGTACGATAGCGCAATAAATAAATATTGTATTCTACCACTTACATGATAGTACTTTTATACTGATAATTAAAGCAATTCGTGCAAAATTATTCCCTAACCATTCCAAAATATCAAAAATGCACAACGTTAATATTCAAGTTTTCACTTCTGCCGGCTCTCCCGGACTGCAATTCGTCGTTTATTTGTTCTTTAACAGTATCTCGATTTATCTGAAAGCTAATAGTCTCCCTTCATAATGGTGGTGCTTATAGCAACGTCATTTAGAAATAGAAATTTGGGCCATTGTGCCTGATATAAATCTAATATATAAAATTCTTGTGTCACGGTGTGCGTAATTGAACTACTCCGAAACGGCTGAACTGATTTTCGTGAAATTTTTATATGCGTATTCAGTAGGTCTGAGAATGGGACAACATCTATTTATCATCCCCAAAAATGTTAAGGGTAGTCCACCAACGATATTAAACACCCTAGATACACCACATCCGCTCAAAATGTGTCCCAATCAAGCAGTGCTTGAACTCCACTTAAGCACTTCTTGGTTCACAGTCACGCGCGGACCGTTGAAAAGTCACCATGACGCCGAGCTCCGTGAAATAATGCGAAAAAAAACTTGTAGTATGTAAAGTGTTGTTTTCTCGACAGGTATCTAATCAATGTTTGTTAATTTGACGCATTTGAAGCAAATTTTGTTCTAATACTTACTATAAACTGATTTAATAGAAAATATTTGCGATATTCAAATGCATAGTCGGTTATATAGCAGTCTCTTTTCCTCGCGGTTCGTACCTGCTATATTGCTAACAGCGCATTCAGAATTGTGCGTAGAGTCAAAGAAATAAGGTCTATATTCTTTCGCATATAGCAATAAGTCGAAAAATTTAACAAGCTTGCATTTCGAACTGTCGCACCTCTTTGACGCATGCGTTTTACTTTAGACCTTAAACAGTATGCATTAAAGGTGACTTTCAATGTTTGAAAGTCATGTTTTAATAATGCCTTATATTGTTTTTGACTACGCGATCATCTTACGGAGCTCCGCGGATCGTCCAATGTACCTTTTGGACAGGTTTCGGGCACGATTTTGTTCGTATTGGTGTATTTAGGGTATTTAATAGCGTTGGTAGTCCACCCTTAATTTTTCTGGACAATTTTTTTTTGTATTTATTTTTTTATCATATACCATACAAAAACACATACAACCCTAAATTTTCATCCTTCTACCTTCAACAACCCCTATTTTTTATGGCGGTACGAAATTTGCTGGGACAGCTAGTTTGCCTATAAAAAACGAATATACGGAAATAGGGGTGATGACGGGGTACAGTAAACGAAATTCTATTTTTGTCCGTCAGTTAGATGATCAAAAAATAATAGACACGTTTTTTTTTCTTTGGGCAATCAACCAAAAAATGACAAAGTAATAGCGCGTCAAAGTTTAGGAGTAGGGGCTCGTGACGTCACTTTTAAGTGAAAATTGTACCAAAACGTGACGTCATGCGACTTTTCAAATCAATCAATCAAATCTCTGCAATGTTTATATTATGTGAAGAAAGAAAAAATACGTGTCCAATACTTTTTGATAATCTACCTGATAGACGAAGAAAAAAAAAATAGGCATCATCCCTATTTCATCTGTCTACGTTTTTTGAATCAAATTACGTTATTTCTTCAACAGTATCTCGATTTATCGGAGTGTGAATGGCTTGAGCCGGCTTCCTTCTTGCCTCTGAGCAAGGTGAGCAAGCTGACTCACCTCATAATGAGGGATTGTCACCGTATGGCCGAGTTTGTGGCGTACGCTTCTTTAGCTACAAGATACGGGTTCAGGAAACTGCAGGTATGTTGTATTTATTTTCTTTTTATTACCTATATAATAACGACCTCCTCTATAGGAGCTCGATGGCGCGGGTGGTTAGCGCGTTCGGCTGCGATCGTTGAAGTTAAGCAACTTTCGCAGTGGTCGGTCATTGGATGGGTGACCAAAAATCTTCTATTTCGAGATCCTCCGTGCTTGCTGCATCTGCAGTCGTTAGCACCCAGCAATCCGCACTGGGTTCGACGACGACTGCAGATGCAGCCGGGACCAACGGCTTAACGAGCCATTCGAAGCACGGAGGATCTCGAAATAGAAGATTTTTGGTCGCCCATCTAATGACCGACCGCTGCGAGAGTTTGTTAACTTCAACAATCGCAGCCGAACGCGCTTACCACTTGTGCCATCGAGTTCCAGATGTTTAATATATATTTGTATATAAATATATATGTACTGTATATGTATTCTATCCGTTACCCTAGTATCCCATACCACAAGCATACACTGCTTACTTTGGGGCTAGGCTAATTGGTGTGATTGTCGGAAATATTTATTTATTTATTTTTGTAAATATCCTACAGGTCTTAGACGTTCGCGGCTCCCCGTTAGGCGATTCCGAAGTGGCAGCCCTAGGTTGGTTGCCTGTTCTACAGGAACTATACGCTATGCCGGCAAGATGCATTCCCCCCCCTCCGCCAGACCATTCGCATTGTAGGGACGAGAGATTACCAGCACATAATGATTTGGAACCCTGGGAGATGCAGGTATTTTATTTACTTTTATTTATTACTTCCAGCCCTGGAAAGGTAGGTGGCAACCCTGCATTTTTAGGTGGCAGCCCTAGACTGGAAGGTGGCAACCCTGAATTGGTAAAGTAGATTAATAGATGGCAGCCCTGAAACAGTAAGTGACAGCTCTGGAATGATAGGTGGCACCCCTAGACTGTTAAATGACAGCCCTAGACTTGGTAAGTGGCAGTAGAATGAGGTGGCAGCCTTAGATTGGTTAGAGGCAGCCCTAGACTAACAGCTCTAGATATAACGTGGCAGCCCTAGTATGAGATGGCAATCTTTGACTAGCACGTGTTAATATAGATAAGTAGGCGACGGCCCTGGAATTGTAGAATGCATCCCTAAAAATGGCAGCGCTGATAACAGATTTTCGGTCACCCATCCAATGACCGGCCGATGAGAAAGTTGCTTAACATCCACGATCACATACGGAACGCGCTCAAGTATGTAACAATTCTTGATTGATTGATTTGACGACCTTGGCCGAGAGGTTTGTTCGCCAGGTTTCAATGTGTCGCTTACTCGAGAGGTCACGGGTTCGAAACCTGTGGGAGAGGAGGTCTGTTCCAGTCATGGATGTTAAATATATCTAATATATAAAATTCTCGTGTCGCGGTGTTTGTGGTTAAACTCCTCCGAAACGGCTCGACCGATTTTCGTGAAATTTTATATGCATATTCAGTAGGTCTGAGAATCCGATGTAATCTATTTTTCATCCCCCTAAATGTTAAGGGTAATGTTAATTAATTAATGTTAATTACCCCTAATTTTTTTTTTCAATTTTAAATATTTTTTTTTAATTCTTTTATGATACAAAAATACATACATCCCTAAATTTTCAACTTTCTACCACCAACCCCTATTTTTTTATGGCGGTACGAAGGTCGCTGGGTCAGCTAGTTTTTCTACATAAATATACTTATATATGTATCAGTATATGTATTCTATCCGTTACCCTAGTATCCCATAACACAAGCCTTACATGGCTTACTTTGGGGCTAGGATACACTGCTGCCAAATTTAAGTTTAGAGAATCATGCCAGAATAAACACCATTGTATCCTTTTCATTCTCTTCATAGAATGAAAATTGATTTAGAGACTGGTGTTCAATTTAGTTTTATGTTGAGAGAATCATGCCAGAATTTACACCATTGTATCCTTGTTATTCTCTATACATACAGAAAGAAAAAAAAACACTGGTGTTGAATTAAATTTTGTTTTAAGTTGAGAGAATCATGCCAGAATCGACACCATTCAATCCTTGTGATTTTCTATACAGAAGGAAAGGGAGAGACTGGTGCCAATTCTGGCATGATTCTCTAAACTTAAAACTAAATTTAACATCAGTTTCTCCTTTTCATTCTGTATAGAGAATGACAAGGATATACTGCTGTCAAATTTAAGTTTAGGTTTAGAGAATCATGCTAGAATCGACACCACTGACGTTCAATTTAGTTTTAAGTTTAGAGAATCATGCCAGAATCGGTACCATTGTATCTTTGTCATTCTCTATGGGGAAGGCAATGCAGAGGTTGATGTTAAATTTAGTTTAAAAGTTTAGAGAACCATGTCAGAATCAGCTCCATTCGATCCTTGTCATTTTCTATACAGAATGAAAAGGAGGGACTGATATTGAATCAAGTTTTAAGTTTAGAGAATTATGCCAGAATCGACACCATTGTATATCCCTTTTATCACACTAATATTATAAAGGCGAAAGTTTGTGAGTGTGTGTGTGTGCATGACGATCTGCGTGGCCGAGTGGTTTGTACGCCGGGTTTCAAGGTGTCGCCGACTCGAGAGGTCCCGGGTTCGAGTCCCGGTGGGGGCAGATGTTTGTGTGATGAATACGAGCATTTGTACTCCAGTCATGGATGTTTAATATATATTTCTATATAAATATACTTATATATGTACTGTATATGTATTCTATCCGTTACCCTAGTATCCCATAACACAAGCCTTACAGTGCTTACTTTGGGGCTAGGCTAATTGGTGTGATTGTTGGAAATATTTATTATTTATTATTATTATTATTTATGTTTTCACGTCTAAACGGCTGGAGCGATTTTAATAAAAATTGGTATGGAGTTAGCTGACACCCTGGATTAACGCATAGGCTACGTTATACTGCGGGAAAATATCCCTAATAAACCGCGGGTAACACCGCGGGGTACAGTTAGTTCTCTATATATACAGAATGAAAGGGAGAGACTGATATTGATTTAAGTTTTAAGTTTAGAGAATTATTCCAGAATCGACACCATTATCTATCTTACCATTACCATACTCCTCCGAAACGGCTTGACCGATTTTTATGAAATTGTATATACATATTCATTAGGTCTGAGAATCGGCTACTATCTATTTTTCACACCCCTAAGTGATTAGGGTTGTCCACCCCTAATATTTTTTATATATTTTTTGGACTATTTTTTTATAATGTGGCATTAAAAAAGACATATAACCCTGAATTTTCACCCTTCTACCACCAGTCCCTATTTTTATGGCGGTACGAAGTTCGCTGGGACAGCTATTTTATCTATAAAAATGTACCATTGTCGTAGGAGCCGGAATACTTTCAAATCAAACCGCAGGTGGTTGAACCAATGGACACTAGATCCTCGACGTCCATAGACGATATAGAGGAGCATATAGAGCAACTCCGCAACTATGAGAACAACATATGCCTCCACGGTGTAGAATACAACATGTGCATGGAAGGAATCAGGTAGGTTTAAATCAATTTTAAATCATTTATTTAATGTAACATATTTTTTGTGACAACATTTAAATGATGATTAGTTTAAAGTGACGATTCTTCTCATCAGTATAAAGACGTCTTGAATGGAAATATTGGACGATTTAAAAGTAGCTTTGAAGAAGTCAAATTCAAAATTTTATAAATGAAACGTTTTTCAACGTGTTTAAAATACGTTTTAATACATTTTTACATAACTCTATGTTTCTCGGCGCCATTCTTGACGGCGCATCCTGAAAAGGATGCGAAACGTCGCGTTCAATAAAAAATGGAGTGAAAACGCATTTTCATACCCTCAGAAACTTGTTTCGTATAAATTATGTTTTTATTTCTTTTAAGCATTTAACTGCTGGATGTTTAAATCTAAAGAAAAGTTTACTAGAAAAAAATCTGCGCGGACCAGGCAGCAGACGGGACACGAACCCGCATTTTCATTTTTGCCTTGCAGCCTAAGGCTAGAGAAATTTCGACTCGGTCGTGAGGACCGCGGTAGCATAATGGTCAGTGCATTCGCCCTGATAGCGAAGGGTGCGGGTTTGTTTCGTATAAACTCGTTTCATATTCGACGCCTAATGTCTTATGTCATAGATTCTTTAAATATTTTGCTTCCATTTTTATTGTGGTAACTGTTATATCGGCACTTCATTTGGCTTGATATTTGTAAACCTGACAAAAATCTGTCCTTGTCATGCTTTATAATCAAAATCAACGATATTAAATACTAGATACACCACGAGCGCTTAAATAGGGTATTTAACAAGTTTTAGAAAACTATCTCACGTTATTTACTAATGTTTATAGAGTCCATAAAAAGTGGATATTCATCATTATGTTGTGTATTTCGATAAAAAAACCAAATCAAAAACTATTTTCAAGTTGCCGCGAAAAACGTATCTCTGGATAATATGGCGTCTCACTGGTGTGTGACGTCACACGACTGTTATTAAAACGTCAAACCATACAATCAAATGTCACTTTAACCGGAAGTTTACTTGCGTGTGACGTCATTTTAGGCTTCCCAAATCCCAAGCGTTTTGGGTCACGTGACAATAGACAAGAAAACTATTATCTTTATCGTGGGTTTTTAGTAAAATTATGAATATTTTTTCTGTAAAAATTGTAAAAACTCCTGCCAACATTCATTCTAAATACGGATGCTAACAATTGGCACCTTATTTTTAATACTGTCAAATACCCTATTGTGTCCAAATCAAGAAGTGCTTGAACACCACTCAAGCACTTCTTGGTTCACAGTCACGCGCGGACCGTTGAAAAGTCAAGATGCTGCTTTTCATTCCGCTTAAGGAGCCAATAATTATATAGTCTTAAGTGTCGTTTTTTCGAACATCTAATCAATGTTTGTTAATTTAACGCATTTGAAGCAAAGTTTATTCTTATATTTACTATAATAAACTGATTTAATATAAAATATTTGTGATATTCAAACGCATGGTCGGTATATAGCCGCCTCTTTCCTCGCAGTCCGTACTTGCTATATTGCTCACAGCGCATTCAGAATTGCGCTTAGAGTCAAAGAAATAAGGTCTACATTCTTCCGCATATAGCAGTAAGTCGTTAAATTTTACGAGCGTGTATTTCGAACTGCCATGAATGCATGCGTTTTAATTAAGACCTTATATAGTGTGCATTAAAGGTGACTTTCAATGTTTAAATAATGCCTTATTTGTTTTCATCTTACGGAGCTCCGTGGATTGTCCAATGTAACTTTTGGATACCCCACGATTTTGTTCGTATTGTTGCATCTAGGGTATTTAATATCTTTGTTTATAATTAATTATAAACAAATAAACGAAAGACGACACTATAGACTATATAAATATGATCGTAGTTATATTTTTTTATTTTAGAAGCATTTAAATGCTACATGTATAAATATAGAGAAAATTTTACTAGAAAAAATTCGACGCGGTCCAGGTAGCAGGAACCGCACTCTCCGCTATCCGGGCGGATGCACTCACCAATTATGTTACCGCGACATTAATGGCCGTGTCGAATTTCTTCTAGTATTTCTTAGGCTGCAAGGCAGCGCCATCTCTTCGTATAGTAGGGGAGGGTGCGGCTTCGAGTCCCGTCCGGAATTTTGGAAATTTATCAATAATAAATTGACATTAAATTGAATATTTAATTTCAGGTGTGCTATAAAGGCTGAACAATCCGTTAATGCTGATAAACAGTCTACAGAACCCAGCAAAAGCTCAGAAGACACAACTAAGGTCCCTGCCCCACCCACTGCTAATTCCACTAACCAAACGAAATCATCACAAGCCAGCACTAGTAACGAAACGGAACCAGAAAAATGTGTCTGCAGCAGTAGCAGAAACATAACGCAATATACCCAATATACCTTTCCTCCTGACACCAGCGGCACAGACATGATTGAAATATCCCTGAAATCCGATCCAAGCGACAGATCGGATAACGAAACGCAGAACTACGTAACTTTCAAAAGGGTGCGACATAATCCTTCACATTCGGGTGCTAGCTCAAACGCGAGACAAATAATCTTCGATCCTAATGAAAATAAATCCGAAGACCAACCGGGGCCTTCTCTTAAACGCTGCCAGAACGACGATAATGTTGTGCCATCGAAAAAGTCGAAATCCAAAGACTCCGAACATTCTAGTCCAGCCATAACCAATTCAGACCAGAAAGAACCCTTCAGCAACGACGAGGACAGTTCCGATGAAGAAATTCCATTAAAAAAGATATGCAAAGGTGTAGTCAATGACGGAGCCAGCACTTCGCAAAGTACCGAAAAACCTCCCACAAAAACGCCCGAAAACTCGGAAGCTACAAGCAAGAAAAAGAAGTATGACTACGTCAGGTTCAGACAGAATATGGAGCCAGTAATAGTTCGGAGAGACGCGGAAGAAGTCGAGGCGGAAGAGCGGGAAAGAGAAGAGAGGGACAGAGAGATGCAAAGGCAAGCGAGAGAGAGACAGAACGAGGAAAACCAAAATGTGGAAGCGAGACCGCGCGCTCACGTTTTATACGTTAACGTGGGACAGCAGTTGCATACGGTATATCGTTTATCCATACATAACGAGCCGCCTATATTCTATTCCTTCGCAAGAAACAGCCATTTGCGTTTCCGTCCGAATGTTGGGAATATATTTTATACGCCACCAACGGCAAGGTTAGATGCCACGTCTCTGATAACAGACTCGGCTTTAAGGAGATTTGGAAGAGCAGATATTGATGATATAAACGTGGTAAACATAGGGCCTTGTAGGCCTCCAGGGGATCCCGGAGCGAGACCTAATAAATCAAATTTAAGAGTACTTTCTGTGACTGGATTTAGAAGTATCACGGACAGAAGTTTGGAACATCTAGCAACGGCAGCTCCCCATTTGAGAAGAATTGATTTCAGTGAAAGCGGTGTCACTCAGCATGGTGTTGAGAATTTCAAAAGTTTGCGGCCGGACTGTGAAGTTATTTTCAGTGAATACGTTGAAAAGGAAGATAAACCTTGAGATTTCTTTGGAGGATCTCGGATATTCGTAAGTCTTTACATATTTATAGTTATCGAGGTTAGTTCAAAACAAAAATTAGCAAGCGCTCAAAAGCACGTTTTAGTTTAGTATTTTTGTATTTAATACGATATGGGATCGCTTGCAAAAAAATTGATGACCGTTAACTCTTCGTTCATAAGAAATTATTTACCTTAAACTAAAATGTTTACACGCTAGATTGTTAAATTAGTAATTAGTTTAATTGTCAGTCTTATGTAGAGGAAAGTTTATTTGTAAAACTGAATTTTCTCATAATGAAATCAGTCTCAATTTTTATAATAAAATGCATTTTAGTGGCCAATACAGTCCATAAACTTTGTGATACCAAAAATGTGCTCCATACCCCGATTTCAATATTGATAAAATACAACGCACTGCAGATTTCGAAAAAGTGAAATGTGTAACCGCAGGCGGGTTCATTTTTTTTATCAATGTGGCGGGTTAAATTTTGACAAAATTATGTTCAAAAGTAACTGCCAAGAAAATACAATTAGAATTAAAGTAATGAGAGAAATCTGTTAGTGTCAATAAAGCTTCTTTCGCTTTTACCGGACTTGGATTTCACTCTTTGTAATTTATTTTACTTTAAAAAAATATAGTAATTTGTAAACTAATTTCGTTCATATAGAATTGGATTTAAAATCTAGAGCATACAAATATTAATCCAAAATGAAATTCATTAAATCGTTTAATAATAATAATTATTTATAAACCTAAAATAATATATTGTATGTATTTACAAAAAATGATCTCTCGTGTCTTCTATTGAATTTACCTAATTTTTTCAGGCAATTAAAAAATTCACGGTGTATTATTAAATGATTAGTTTTGTGATCCTATAGTTATAGTTATGGCAATATATGTAAAGGTTAGTTGGCTTGTAGTGCGGTATAAATAAAAATTAGAATTAAATTTGTATCGGAAACAATTATTTTATAATCAAATAAATATTTTTCTCACGTCAACTTTCGGTCTGACCGTGTTTTAACCATAAGAAGGCTATTGTATAAGTAAGTAGTTATTCAGAGTATATAATAGTAGTAGCAGGCAAACTGCACAATCGGACCTTTTGGAGAATGTCCAATGCTAGCATTTTCATACAAATATCTTAGAAGATTCTCGGTTTGTCCGATTTTGTGGTTCGCTCGTCACATATATAATTATTAACACAAAATGTAAGCTTTACGCATTATTATAAAGATAATGGTTTTATTAGTTTTATTGATGGTTTGCGTTTTACATCGCTAGTTTTAAAGTCAACTTCTAAATGCCTGCTTTAAAAATTAGTATTTTAAGAACATTTCTTTAAAAAAAAGCGTGTGCGCCAGACAGACTAACGCCGTAACGCGTTACGTAACGAAGCGGTTTACCCTCCTATAAGAAGTTATCACTTACAAGACAGACAAACTCGTACTATCTCGCTCTAGATAATGAAAGCTTCTATGACAGAAAAGTTTTGATGGACAGCAAATTACTTCACGCAAATATGATTACTTCCTCTATTAAATTATCTATAGTGTTGTCTGTCTTGTTATTGGAAACCTTATGTTTATCTCCCTTGATCTCGAGCTTAAAACATTACAAACTATTCTTTTAGATTTTATTTGGAAACCTAACATTTTCCGGGATAAAAAGTGTCCTATGTCTCAATCCATATACTATGTGTGTTAAATTTCATCTAAATCCATTCACCTGTTTTTGCGTGATTGAGTAACAAAGGTACAAATTTTCACATTTATAATATTACTAGCTGCGCCCCGCGGTGTTACCCGCGGTTTATTAGGAATATGTTCCCGCAGTGAAACGTAGCCTAAGTGTTAATCCAGGGTATAAGCTAACTCCATACCAAATTTTATTAAAATCGCTCCAGCCATTTAGACGTGAAGAAGTAACGAACATACACACCCACAAACTTTCGCCTTTATAATATTAGTGTGACTAGCGGGCACCTGCGACTTTGTTCGCTTTAACTTTAGTTTTTTGGAAATCCCTCAGGAACCTAAAACTTTTCCGGAATAAATAGTGTACAATGTCTCAATCCAGGTAATAAAATAAATGCGTTTTAAATTTCATCCAAATCCGTTTATCCGTTTTTTGCGTGATTCAGTTATGCCGCAATTACATTTGGTCATTAGCTATTATTCGGGTGCTCGAAAGACATTACTCGAATTCGGGCAACCGAAGGAATATTTACACTGGAATACGGACTAAAAGACGTGGTCTGGTAAACAAAAGGAAATCTACCCGAATACCCGGGCGTACTCGACTCCGTTCATTTACACATAGTCGTTTACCCGAATTCCATTAGCACTCGTATTCGCGCTAACGACCATGTATAATCGAGCCATTAGTAACAAACATAAACTTTCACATTTTATTTAGATATGAGTAAGATACTAGCAAACCAGTGAACCAAATGTTCGCCAATTAAAAAAAAAAATGTATTTAATTAATTGACAACTTCGGAGATTTTGTGTGGTTTCGTTTGAAATTCGTGATTTCTCGAAAACCGGAAGTGCTACGTTACTCAAATCCGGTTTGTAGTCTTATCAGACTATTCTTAACTTATAACTTAAATATTCTCTTTATCTATCTCTTACGGTTTGGCCGCTGAAACAGCACCACAGACAGACGGATGGACGGACGGACGGACTTGTCTAATAGATAAGAGATTCGGGCTAACGACCATGTATAATCGAGCCATTAGTAACAAACATAAACTTTCACATTTTATTTTGATATGAGTAAGATAAGGTTAGCAGGGTGAGCAGGCTTTGTTTCCTCTTTTTGAGTTTTGAGCGAAGCGAGAATTTTAATAATCAATGCAATCGGCTAGTTGACCCTTTTTAGAAAAAGGTTTTAAATGGTTAATAAATGTTCTATTAGAACGAAAAAAATGTATTGGATTTTTTTGAGACCTAAAAAGCTACAAATCTTTAATTTTAAAATAGACTTTTTATGGACATACAAAAACGCTGTCGGCCATTTTAGTCTATAGATTATCAATGCTATGACGTCAACCGGTAGTAAACAAAAACTCGTAAGCACGTAGAAAATAACCTATCTTGAGTTTATAATAAAAAAAACATGATTTCTAATAAATACCACGAAAAATATAGTAATTATCATTATTGTATTGTACGAGAATGTAAAAACACATCCTTGAAGACTCCAGGAAAGTTGTGGATTAAAGTGCCGAAAGAAATTAACCTATGCAATACCTGGTTAGAACTTGCTAAAAGGGATCCTGCAAGTTTATCGACTCGTAGTAAAATTTATTTTTGCGAAGATCACTTTGATGTAAGTACTCATTGAATAATATTTTAAGTCTCTTCATTATTATCAGTTTTAATAATACAAGTTTTAAGGTTATGTATGAATGACATTTAGTTGTTTACTACCAAAGAGACGCCACAATCTGGCAGCGTTTTGAGGGTTTAAAAAGTATAGACTAAAAAATATTTTTTTAAATTAAATTTCTACAGCAATCTGCTTTTATGAAGTGAAATAGTTTATTTAGGTTCCTTAGACCAAAAACTTTAAGAAATAAACATTTGTTTAATACAATTCGACATGCAGTGGCGGCGCTAGGCGTCGGCGACGTCGGCCACCGCCGACGGCCTCGCGCCTGAGGGGGCCTCGCAAAAAATTTTTACAAGTTACCTATTTATTTTCGTTTCTCCGGGCCTGGCTTAAGTAGCCGACCCCGAACAATTCGGAGAAAAAGCTAAGCAGATGATAATGACTTTTATTATTTTCGAACACATGCGTGATGGAAGCGGGTAGTACTTTACGGGTATTCAGAATCGTCTGTCTGGCAACACTATTTTTGCAATTAAAGGACAATGTTAAAATTGGCCTAAGAACCAACACCAATTTGGCATTTATGATAATTCTTAGTATATTTTTTGCGATAATTATCAGTATTTAGATTGTGACGGACACTTCCAGTTAAGTAAGCTAAATTAAAAAGTTAAAAAATAATCTGAGACAATAAATACCATTTTATGTGTATATAATCTATGGCAGCGCTGCAAACAAAACACTTTTTCTTCCTAATGTCGGCACTTCACTTGGTTATTCGTATTTGCTATTTTAAAACATGACATCAGTCTGTCCTTTTCATTCCTTACTAAGCATGACAAGGACAAACTGTTGTCAAGAGAAGGGCCGGCATAAAATTCTTTACTCTGTGGTTGTGGTGCATGCAGTTTTCATTTGTAGTAATCTGTGGCATTCGTGCATTCCAAAGAGTAGTATATATTATACGGGAAAGTGCATTCTCGTTTCGGATTACCTGTTGTGTGTATTTATTTGCGAATGTTTTTCCTTTAATTTAACTATATCGGCTATCTAATATGCCATCGATATTACCAAAGAGCAGAGCCCTTATTACCAAGTGCTAGTGAACCTGTGCCACATCCTGAGAGGATCTAATCAATAATAATAGCTAAATTATTCAAGAACACCTGATACACATTCACGCTGCATATTTACACAATATAATGTGATATACAAATAAATACAATAAACAATATGATACAATTAAGTGAAAAATAGTCATTAAATAAGAATCGAAACTACAGTTTTTATTTTATTCATGATTCCTACCTGACCAAGTTTTTCCTAATAGTTATTCTTTAAAATAGCACCGAATAAAATGAATTAGTTGTAATATTAATTCACTTCATACTGAGTTCATACTAAATTCATAGGTTGACCTATGTTTCATTGAATATTAAACATAACCTCAAAAAAATTTTAGTTTTCCTAATAATTTAAGTTCTCAGAAGTGTCCGTCAATAATCTTTGTTTTTACAGTCATTTACTTACGACTTTGAACCTAGAAAATAATATTTCATGATTGTTGGTTCTTAGGCTAACTATGTATGGACGCTGAGCAATGTCCTTTCTATGTTTGTAATTATTTTTTGTCATCATTTGATTATCAACAATAAAACTCGTTTACTCATACGTTATTTTAGAATTTGGCTCACTTAATTTAACGGTTTTCTTACTGCGAAGTAAAAAGGGCCTCGCGAACTTGATGTCGCCGACGTCCACATGTGGTCTAGCGCCGCCACTGTCGACATGAGTCGACTAGCCTATTGACTCAGCTATCGATTCAGACGCCCTGTTTAAAGTATAGAAAAACGCGTAGTCCGATAAGTAGACTTTAAAACTAGCCTGTAACAAATCGAAGAATGGTAATTTTATCACTTAACAGTGAATTTTTCCTTTGACGCTGAGGGCTTACGTCTAGCGCAAATATCTGTACCCCTAGCACGAACCATTATCGAATTCGAATAGTTTGCAAACCGAAATGTCAATGTCAATTTAATTACACAGGTACGAAACCTAATGTAATAATTTTAAAATTCTTAATTAAGTAGTTCAGTACTCGTTAGTTTGTTTCGATGGAGCTGCCATGTCATCGGACAAAAGGTCCTAAACAAAAAAGATAAAAAAAAAATGATAAAATATCTTTTATTCTTTTATCGGCTTGGTGAAGGTCGATGTAGGTTCGGATCTAAGACCATGTGCTTTTGCGTTTTAACTACAATTTAACAATCTTTTCGAGTTGCGGTCGCGTCCCGCAGCCGCGGCGAGCGCGGGCAAATATCGCTCCGTGAGTTCTTAGCATAAGGGTGCGGTTGTCAGCTAAACCCTAGTTTTCACATAAAGTGATAAAATTACGATTGTCTTATTAGAAAGCTGAGGCTCTAGGCCTGCATACAGACTGAATGCATTTGTATAGGCTTAGGAATAAGGCTCAAAATCGGCTGGAGTTGTTGAAGAGGTTTATTCCTATTAAAAGGTTGTATTTCATGAAATCAGCGGAGCATAGAATGAGTTCTTTTTAGGAAAATGTGCTTTACGGCCGTGTCGTAAAGAACAATTTCGCATGGTCACGTTTTTTAAAATCATAGTTAACTAAGTAAGTTTTGAGGATGAAGTTACCGAAATTGTCATTGGTCAGTTATATTTAACAAAAACTGCGTTCGTTATTTGCGTCTGATCAATATTTTTGGTCCGAATCGTTCGTTTAATACATCTAGTAAAGTAAATCTGAACCTTTTGGTAATTCCGCTCAGATCAGACCGATGTAACTGTTTGCTCGGAGCATTGTGGCCTACGAGAAGGATTAATCTGTCGTGTTGTGTGGTTAGTTTCTGTTTGAGTTTAGAAATTAATCTTAACGGTTGGTCGGGCCGTTCGGTCATAGCAATTTGCTCAGATTAATCTGTGATCACGTAACCAAAATACCGTCGGCCCCGCGATGCAGATACCGAACACGGCTTGTGTATGTTATATATAATGCGATTCAACTAAGAATAGGACCGACTAGGCGCCATATTGTGATGTCATAGCTGTCAATTCAAAC